TATATAATCGCTAATTTTATTCAGAGATGTACAACTTTGCTGCTTTAACATAAAAAACGAACTATCCGTATATTATGTCTGTATATTTGATGAATTAGTGAAGTTTCTAGTTGTTTTAACAAACATCTCTTTTTTCCGTGTGTATATTTATTAGAATATTATGTAATCGCAATTTGATTTTTTGTATATTGTCATATAGGTTACTTAATTATATTATAGATTATTTTTACCGGGCGTATAGTTGTTATTGTTGCAAGATATCTTAGACTGTAAGTTCACATAAGATTGTGTAAAATAAAAATATTTGTATATATAGAAACATACGAGTATTGTCGATGCGCATCCTAGGTACCTATTACGGAATATGTCGGAATAAACTACGATCGAAATTATTCCGTTTTCTCTAAAAAAAATCATACTATAGAAATCATACTATAGAAAAAAATCATACTATAGAAATCTAGGGAATAATTGAATAATTTCGATCGGAATTTATTCCGACATTTCCCATAAGTACGCATTATGGAATTATTCAGAATAAATTTCGATCAGAATTATTCAATTATTCCCTAGATTTCTATTGTGGTTTGTATAGAAAACGAAATAATTCTGATCGGAATCCATTCCATTGCCTGTTTCATGTTTTTATTTTTCCCCGAAACTCCTTGAAAAATGATATTACAAGTGTTTTTACCACCGACAAAGTATAAAACATGAAAGTTACAGCTGCAGTCACAAATAAATTTTCAAATCAGTTAAAAGAGGCCGATGGAAACGCGCTGACACGACTAATTGTTAATGGATTAAGACATCAGAGTCGACGTCAGTTGGCTCATCTCGAGCATACTAAATACATATTTAATATACTGACGAAACAAGCAGGATGCACACATAGACGCAGCACAATGGACAATGGAGACATTATAATGAATTGCAGATTGAACTAGTTACTAGATCATTATTTAAACAAAACTTATTGTGAAGAACATAATTTGATTACTTAATATCTCCTAAATTAGTAATGGGCCACCGCGATCTGCAGGCTGTAAGTATGTGGCCAATTATTAATTTTCTACGGCTTGCCGCGCCAGCTCATAACCGAAAATATAATTGTATTTTCTATTTTATGTAAACACTATTAAAATAATAACCCAAATACGAGAAGCGCCATTTAACGGTCAAAATATTAAATTAATACATAAACGTATCCTTTTAAATAAATTTATCTCAGAAATATGATTGCGTTACTATTGGACTGTCAACATAATCCGTCTGAAATATTTAATAATTCCCCCAAATTTAATTACACATATATTTTAAAACTTGTAAAGAGCTTATTTTGCGAAAAATACGAATATCAACCTTCCTATAACACGATTGATTCGTATTGTATCGAAACCGTGCTAAGGGAAACTTAAAAGCAAAGAAAAACCTGAGAGGACATAAGGGCCTTTTTCGCTGTAATCGTAAAATGTCCACGCGCACTACTGCTCTCTGAAGAAGTGGATATATAAATCATACAATAATTTTTTTGCGCTGCTCCTGATGGAAATAAATCGCTGAAATAACTAAAATCTATCAAATTAAGATTTCAATGATTTCAGCAATTTATTTCTATCAGGAGCATCACAAAAAATGGATATTGTTGTGTAGTTTACATCCACTTCTTCAGAGGACCGTAGTGTGTGCAGGGACATTTTGTGATTACAGGAAAAAGGCCCTCATGTCCTCTCTCGGGTTTTTCTCTGGTCAAACCAGAGAGAAGGGGCTAATCTGGCTTTTTTCGTGTGACCCTTGGAAGCTTTCGTACACTAGCGACATCAACAACAATTTTATAGAATGATACGGCGAACTACGTATCATATTATCGACATCACTGCCGATAAAAGACCTGGATCCCTATTCTTGAAAAGAAACGTTTATGAAATTCTAGGAAAATACTATAGTATACGTATACTGTAGTATTTCCCTAAATTTTCGTATACGTTTCTTTTCAAGAATAGAGATCCTTTTCTTTTTCCATATCCTAAGATTAAACTTTTAGCACGTTTTATCTTCCTTCTTTTTTTTTCTCACATTGGAGAGAAAAAGACAAAACATGAACAATGCAAGAAGTTCAGTCAGGGTATAGAAAAAGAACAAGCCTAAAGTAGCGTCAAAAAATTGATGTGGTGCGAGTCACGTGAATTTTTTAATAAGACGTACGATTAATTTTTATTTTAGCAAAATATTACAGGTACTCATTCTTTGTTTTACAGTGTATATCAGTCCAACATAATTTATATACATTCAGTAACACAATGTAACTGCCATTAACAAATCCATAAAACAATCTCGAATCATTACTTAATAATCGAGCAATTATTAAGTAATGATTCGAAATTGTTTTATGTAATATTTGTCCAAATCTCAACATTTTCATCATGTATATGTATAAGGAAGTTACACTTCTTCGTTATCTCATTTAAACTAAATAATTTTATATCATTTGAATAAAGCCAGCAGCACACGATGCTTGTTTTCCCGCTGGATTGCTAGCTGGATTAGAATCTTGCCACCGTATTGGCTGTGATGCTGTCGGTATCAGCATCATAGCCAATACGGTGGCAAGATTCTAATCCAGCTAGCAATCCAGCAGGAAAACAAGCATCGATGCAACTTATGTCATTTTGACCCGGTTTTTCATTACTTCGTTAACTTGTGCTTACACTGATAAAAATCGATGCGAATTTACAAAGGAAATGTACTTATTTTTTGGTAAATTTATTGACTTTTTGTAGTTTTTTAATTAAAATTTATATTATTTCTTTTATTTCAATGGAAAATATTGAAATATTATGAAAAATTAATTGAATATAGTATATTTACAGATAATTTGTAAATTTACTTCTAATATCGCTAAATATACCTATAATATTACATACATGTGTTTAAATATCTTTCTTATACTGTAAATTTACAACCTGGCGCGGAATTTTACTGTCAGTAGTGTGATATCAATGGTATTTTAGTAAAAAGTGTGCTTGCGCGCGCATTACCGTGTGGCGCGTGAGCATTGGTGAGCAGTTGAGCACATCGAGAATATTCTGATAGTGTTTTGCGTTCTTCATAGCGTCTTCATAGGGCGGTATTCATAGTCGTTTCTTATATTTAAGATCGTATAGCCCTTCTACAATAAGCCGCAAGTCAGAAGTTCTAAGCGATCTTAAATCATAACCGGTGAAGTTGGCCAATAGCCAACTTGAACGACTTGATTAAGACTGGTTAAGACTTCTAACTTTCTGACTTGCGGCTTATTGTAGAAGGCCCATAAGAAAGAATACTTTTAGAAGTATGCAAATGTATGAAAATGTTAGTAGAGGAAAGTAGTACGAAATACCCTTGGCAGACAATGTACGTTGGATTCGTTTTATAAAAACACAAATTATTTTCTATATAACTTTTGTTTTGACAGGAGAAAATTTGTTTTTAAAGCAGAGAATTTATGTTTTTAAAGCAAACAAATATCTAACCAAAACAAATTTTCTGCTGTAGAAACAAAAATTATATAGAAAATAATTTGTACTCTTGAAGCAGAGAATTTATGTAATTGAAGTAGAAAATACTTATTTCAGTTTCACTTACGTGTTCTCATGTCCCTCTATGTCATCGACGTAACAGATTCCTAACCTGAAGAGTCGTCAATTTTAACGATTAATACCTCGGTCCATAGGGTAGAACAATATTTTCTTTTGTCAGATTCGTTAATTTCGTGCAAAAATGCTTCGAATGAGCCTAATTTTATCAACATCACAAGTGCGCAGTGAGGAAGCTAAACTCAACAATTATTTATATTTACCGATACACTGGACACTTTAATCGCCCAAGTAGCACACAGCGCTTACAAAGTGTTAACAAAGCGTTAAAAACGTGCATATAATCTTTTTTAGCGCTTTTTTAGCGTTTTGCAAACACTCCTGTGCTACTTGGGATAGAGTGAGTATAAAGAGAGTGGCGCCACAATTAGACGGAAGTCGCCATTACCTGCACATATTGGCTACGTTCAGCGAACTCAACAGTTGAGCTCGCTGTTATTGGTTTATTCTTTTAGATCGTCTAATCAGATTTTAGATCTAGAAGAATACATCAATAGTAGCGAGCGCTCACTTAACTGTTGAGTCTGCTGAACGCAGCCATTTATGACATTTTCCTCGTCTTAACCTCTTCTTTTTTTTAATTTGTCTTCGTCTAACTAACAGTATAAATGGCCAAGCCATTAGCCAATCAGGCACATGCATTGGCGCCACTCTCTTTATACTCACTCTTTATAAAGCTTTGTGTCCACACGATGCTAGAAATCGGTCCGAGATCGCGGACAGAGAAAAAATTAACAAATCACATTTGAACAATTTAATCACATGACCATTGCGATTGGTCAATTCTTTCTTCATCCGAGGTCTCGGACCAATTTCTAGCATCGTGGACACAAGGCTTAAGATGCCTTTTCATGCGTCAGCATAAAAAGGCACCTTAATTCGCTGTCATAAATCACAGAGCCAATCACGGAGTAGTCGGCATTGACCGATCTCTACTTAGGGTGCATTCCAAATATGAGTTTTGGAACGCACCCCTAGAAGATCTTTAGCCCGCTCTAGCCTATCTCTATTGGCTA